ATATATTAACCCACTCTCCAGGCCTGCAAGTTTTCTGGTAAGACATCCACAGATTGTCTTTTTTTTTTTTTGAGTTGGAGTCTCACTCCATCACCCAGGCTGGAGTGTAGTGGCATGCTTATGGCCACTACAGCCTTGACCTGCTGGGCTCAGGCAGTCCTTCCACTTCAGCCTTCCAAGTAGACATGTGCCACAACACCCAGCTAATTTTTTAATTTATTGTAGAGACGAGGTCTCGCCAAGTTGCCCAGGCTTGTCTCGAATCCCTGGGCTCAGGCAATCCTCTCGGCTCCACCTCCCAAAGTGCTGGGATTACAGTCATGAGCACCATACCCAGCCCCACAGATAGTCTTATGGACAATTTTTTGTATGTGATGAGTTACTTTTCTTTTGCTGCTTTCAAAATTTTCTCCTTGTCTTTTGCTTGTAACAGTTTGATTATGTGTCTCAGTGAAGACCTTTTTTTTTGAGTCGGAGTCTCACTCTGTTGCCCAGACTGGAGTGCAGCGGCCGCTCCCGGCCACCGCAGCCTCGACCTGCTGGGCTCTGGCGATCCTTCCATCTCAGCCTTCCAAGTAGCTGGAACTACAGGCGCGCGCTACCATGCTCGGCTGATTTTTTTATTTATTGTGGAGATGCAGTCTCGCCAAGTTGCCCAGGTGGGTCTCGAACCCGCAGGCTCAGGCAATCCACTCACCTCAGCCTCCTAAAGGCACAGGATTACAGGCTGAGCCACCGAGCCCGGCTATGATTTCTTTAAATAAGTTTTCTACTCCTTTCTTTTTCTCTGTTCCTTCTAGAACCCACATACTACCTATATGAGTTTGTTTGATTATAAGTCTTACAGGCTTTTTTCATTCTTTTTTCTTTTTGTTCCTCTGACTGGGTAATTTCAAATGATATGTTTTCAAGTTCACTGATTCTTTTACTTGATGAAGTCTGCTGCTGGAACTTTTTTTTTGAATTTTTCAGATCAGACATTGTATTCTTCAGCTCCAAAATTCCTGTTTGGTTTTTTTTTTATGGTTTTGGTCTCTTTGTTAAGTTTCTCATTTGGTTTATGTATTATTTTCCTGATTCCTTTAGTTGTCTACCTGTTCTTTTTTGCTGACTGAGCTTCAAGACAATTATTTTGAATTCTTTGTCAAGTAATTCATAGATCTCCATTTCTTTGGAGTTAGCCACTGGAGATTTATTTTGTCCCTTTGGTAGTGTCATATTTCCTTGATTGTTTAAGGTCCTTAAAACCTTGCATTGTGTCTTCATATTTGAGGAAGCAGCCACCTGTTCCAGTCTTTATTGACTGGCTTCAGGAGAGAAAGAGCTTCTCCAGTGTGCCTAGCTAGAGATTCTGAGGATCTCTCAGACCTTTTTTTTATGAATACACCCTCTCTGTACTTCTTGTTTTTTCTCTGGGGAGAAGTCTTAAGAATTGTGTTCCTTCTTTCAATCCAGTAAAGCCAGGCCTGGTGATAAGAGCCTCTTGCTTATTTTCCCTAGGGCAGTGCTCTGAAGTGTTCAAGGTTATCTGCCTTCTCTCAATCCAAGAGTCAAGCCAACTGCTAAGATCTGCACATGCTAACCATCTGTGAGTGTGTGCATGTTGTCAAGCACTAAAGTGCACGTTGGCTGGTTGGAGGGGTCCACAGGCCAGTTGTCCTGTGGATTATGGGAGTGACTCATAATGAAGACTGTGAGTTAGCAGGATCTGCAGTCAACTTTTGAGAACTACAAACTGGTTGCTATGCACGCTTGCTATAAGATGATTCACCCATGCTGGTCTCTTCAGTGTTCTCAAGGAGAAGAGACAAAAGTCGGTCTCCTAGCCAGTATTGTATCAGGCTGGGGAAGCCAGGTGCTCACTTCACTCTCACTTTCCTTGTGGGAGAATTGCAAACTGTGGTGGCCCCTCTTAGCACCAAGCTGTGCCACCTTAGAAGAGGATAAGGTGAAACTGCTCTTCTTACACCCTTCAGTGCATTCAGTCTTGGATTTTTTTTTTTTTTTGCTCCTCTTGTGCACTGGAACCTCTCATTAGACTCCTTTGCTCCCACAAAGATATTCTTGTCCATGAATAGTTGCCAAAATCAGTGTTTCTACGGAAGGATGAGAACTGAAACCTCATATTCTGCTGTTCTGCTGATGTCTCTTTTGTCTCTCTTTTATAAAATAGTAGTTAAATTGTTTTATCATTGTACATCCTAAATTTAGCCTTGAAGATTACTTTAACAACTCCTGGTCTTCATGTAGACCAGCCCAGGCTGCTATGCCTATGGTGCAGCCTGTTCTCTGTCATTTCAATAAAACTTACTTTAAAAAAAAAAATTTGCTTTAGCAAATGGCCTGAGGCTTAACACAACATGTCAAAGTTAGTGTTTTTTTCAGGTGGATTTTGTAAAATGTTGACCTGTTAATTTTGAAAATAAGTTATGTGTGAATAACGATCTATATTGAAAGGTAAGTCTGTATAAAGGAGATAAAAACTATTGAGTATTTTCTGCATGCCTGGCCATTCGCTTATCTGCTCTGTGGTTTCTCCTTATTTTTTGAGAAATATTTTGGGTCCTAATCTGAAAAATCTGTCTCCCAACCAGAAACACATTAGTGGCAATGGTAGGGAGGCTTCTGATGTGTTGAGAAACAAGGTGGCCACCTGACTTCTCATGGTCATTGTAGAGGTCTAGTCATAGAACTGTCTCTCCCCCAGTTCCCTCCTTACTGTCCAGCTCACCCTCAGGTAGGCTGGAAGGTGACACTAATGCCACTTGGAGCTCAAAGCCACCAGGGCATTGCTTTACCTCTTTGGATATCTCCCTCTGAGCTGAATTCCTTCTCCTCCTCACCTCCAAAAATCATTACTTGTACTCTAGGGCACAACATGTTTTGTAAAATAGATACCTTCTTGTTTTTCAGCCAAGTGAAAACATCCTTGGATGAGTCCTAACAGGAATACAGAACAGTACTTGACAACTGTGTGCAGTGCAGTTGCTTGGTTGAAGCCTGGAGAGCTTTCCCTTTGTTGCTGAAAGCCCCCCCTTTGCAGGGAAGGAAATAGGACTTGATTTAGGAGAAATGATTCTACTACTGGCTCTGCCTAGGACAAGATACGTCACCTTTAGCTAACTATTTTCCCTTGGGGTGTTTGTTTCTTCCAACCTTTCATTCAATTAAATATTTATTTAGCACATTTTTTGTGTGCCAGCTGTCTCTTCCATGATGAATTTACATTATCCTATGAGAGCAAGTAATTAGCAAAGAGCAAATAAACCAGCCAAATACAAAGAACTCGGTGGCTCAGCCTGTAATCCTGCGCTTTTGGGAGGCTGAGGTGAGTGGATTGCCCGAGTCTGCGGGTTCGAGACCCACCTGGGCAGGCGAGACCTCATCTCTACAATAAATCAAAAAATTAGCCGGGTGTGGTAGCGGCGCCTGTAGTTCCAGCTACTTGGAAGGCTGAGGCGGAAGGATCGCCGGAGCCCAGCAGGTCGAGGCTGCGGTGGCCGGGGGCGGCCACTGCACTCCAGTCTGGGCGACAGAGTGAGACTCCAACTCAAAAAAAAATAAAATAAAAAAAAATCACCTGACTCTGCTTATACAGAGAAAACAGCGATGGACAATATATAAATCAGTGGACATGGCTGTGTTCCAATAAAATTTTATTTACAAAAACATGAGGTGGCAAATATAATATGTATATCCTCATACACACATTATCTATCTGTTCGCTTGTTTTTGGAAACTGTGTCATATAAAGATTGTAAGAAAACTTTCTTTTCCTTTGGCAGGGAGTAGAACACTGAAGCAGAGTGTTATGACATAACCAAGGATCGTTTGGTCATTCAGTGATAGAACCAGTAAAACAGAGAAATCTGTTCACGTTGCTTCCTCTAACCCATTTGCTTGAGGGAAATGAAAGCAGTGCCTTGTCTGAGGTACAAAAGTAATTGTTAGATGCAAATACATTTATAGTAAGGTAGCCACCAGAGTGAGGGTTTCATGTAATTTGCTTTTATATTATGTAATTTTATAACAGTTAAAGTAATATGATCAACCACTATCTTCATTGCATGAGGTTCATTTTTAATATCACTGTCTTACTAAATGAAGCAGATACTTTAAAAATGGAAACTAGGTAAGAAAGAGTTTTACAACCAGAATTGGTTTTAATCTGTGCTTTTTAATGCAATAATTTTTCATTGAAATTCTGCTTTTTATAGGGCTGTGACTTTTGCTATGTCACAGAAAGACAATGGCCTTTATAGCTTAACAATGGCCTTTATAGCTTAAATTTAAATAAGTTGGTATTTGAAATAGATAGCACTTTCACTTTGGAAAGTTAATAATATGGTAAAATAATTATGTTGCTTGTATGAATTACATAAAGTTTTTAAAGAAACAAAACAAAAACAGGTAGTGGGCCATAGTGTGTTGACTCTTATACTAAATCAGAAAGGACCTTAAAATCCAAGGAGATGGGTTTACATTTGAACTTTTAGTTAACAGGACTCTCTTGACAATGATTCTTGAGTAGGGACATAATTCGATAGAAGTCTATTTTGGGTTTAACCATGTACAGTTTTCTGAAACCGGAAGAGAGCCTAATCCTTCAGATTATTGCTGTTTTTGAATTGTTACGAGTATCTTGTGACCTGCCAGGGATTTAGCGGGAGTTTTTTGTTGTTACAAACCTTGGCAGACCTTCCACAGTTTCTTGCACACAGTGAACATTTAACAAAGTCATGCATGCTGGATTAGAAAGCAGCTCTCTAAAGGCAAGAATGCTGTTTTATTCGCAGCCATATATTCAGTCTCTGGAATGATGCCTGACATATAGTTGTCACTCAAGTTTCTGAATGCTTTGATGGTGCAATAACTCTGGAGTTTGCGTATACAACTGTTCACTCTTAGGCTTCATTAAAATCTATGTCATTTAATGAGTGTTATTTGAAAATAATACAAGGCCAGTGATGCCAATTTTCTGGTTTGTTTTTTCTCCTTTCAGATGGCAGACGATCAGAGCTGTGTTGGGGAACAGGGAGCTGGGGATTCAGCAAACAAAGATACAGTGGATGCTAAGCCAGACCGGTCTTCGTTTGTGCCATCACTCTTCAGGTCAGTTTCCTCCTTGCTGCATTCATCAGAGACCCCAGGCACTTTAGCTTGCTGGGCCTCTGCCGTCTCCACCAGTGGGGTGGCGTACACTCAGGGAAGGAGGTGCGTGCTGTGTGTGGGAGGTTTGCATAGGATCTTGCCAGCTGTATGTGACAACACTCGGGTCCTCTTGTGTGCCATCTTATCTCTGGGGCAAGCCCAGGAATGGGGAGAACCATGTGGGGCTCTCCTGCTCAGCGGCTGTGTGTTGGGTGGCAGCTCCCAGGAATGAGGGACTGGTTTCATCAGAGGTAATTTGCAGGCAACTTCAGAGCAGAGTCTGAGCTGCTGCCACCAGTGAGACCACACTTAACTAAAATGTAGAATCCAGGGACTGAGGGACAGGAGGTTTTAGGGTGACACCCTCCTACCCTTCCAGAGCACTCCATTAGTGGGAGTGGGATACATACTCTTCTCACCTTTTTCTTTCTTGAGTTCACTTTTAAAATTCTAAATTTTACATTTAATAATAATAGTAGCTTCATTGACAAAACTCTTATATGCCTGCTCGGTATTACTGCATTTAGTCCACATAATAGTGGGAATCAGTTTGAATTATTTATCACATCTAACAGGTAGGGAAACGGAGGCACTAAGAGGCTTAATAGCTTGTCTTTCTGCTGACAGTTAATAAATGGTAGGGCTGAGATGAGATGCCAGACAGGACCAGCACCACTCATTTAAATGTTGTGCTGTGTGCTTCCCTTTTAAAATTAGGCCTGTAGAGACGTGGAGGAACCCAGTACCTCCCTTAACCTTGACCGTAGATGGGCAGTGAGTGGAGCCTCCGGGAAAGAGGAAGGAGGCTGCATGGGTCAGAAGCATCAGACATCTTTGGATTATTCCTAAGGGAGAGACCGTGAGAGAGACAAAGGCTGAGGTTAGGGAGTGCTCCCAGGCAGTGCTCAGGAGGGGAAGAGCTGGTGAGGAGGGTCAGCCTGGCTCCCTGCAATACTGCAGAAAGATCCTTGGATCATACGTCCCAGACAGAACTCAGGAAAGTGGGAGAACCCCAACACCAAGGACCTGAATTCTATTGTTAGCCATTTAGGGTCAAGAATATTCAGTGAAGTGACCAGAATACATAGCTCCAAACTCCTGGAAACTTCCCAAAGTCATTATAAATTTGTCCAGGGTTGAGCCACTCCCCAGGGAAAGCTCCTTCCAGCAATAGCCTTCAAAAATTTTTGCATACTTATCTTCAAAATAATGTTATGAAACTATGCATTCCCTTGTATATTTTAAGGTGACATATACATTTTTTTGTGTCGAGGTAGTTGCAAAGGATACAATAATATTTTACTTGTATCAACTTTTTTTGAGTGTTTGAGTTAAATAAGTTGCCTCTAAATGAAAGAGAAACAGGAATTACTTAATACTCATTTCATGAGTCTTAGTAAAGCCTTTTGGTGTATTTCCCAGAAATTAAGAAAATGAATGGTATGTTGTAAATGTTGACATTTAAAAATAATTTCTTTAAATTTATCCATTGGAATCTAAATCCATAGTGATTTTATAACCACCTTTATTCCTTAAAAAAAATATGAATAACTCTCCTTTAACAGCTAGAATTTTTATGTCTTTTTTCCCCTGAAAACTTTTTTTTTTGAGTTGGAGTCTCACTCTGTCACCCAGACTGGAGTGCAGTGGCTGCTCCTGGCCACCGCAGCCTCGACCTGCTGGGCTCCGGCGATCCTTCCGCCTCAGCCTTCCCCCCTGAAAACTTTTAAACATTTTCTTTACCCTTGCATTTTATTCTGAGGTAATAGATTTTGTTGCTTGAAAATTTTAAATTAACCACACCATCATTTATCTCTGTAACATATACATGTATGCAGATGTTTATCTGTATAAATTTTAAGACATTTTTCAGGTATCATGAGTATTAAAATAAATTTCTCCTAGACTAAGTTACTGTTTCAGCTATTATTAATTCTCAGTTGATCTTAAAGTGTTAATGAGCATTAGTATTAAATTATTACTCATCAAAATAGTGTTAAATAAAAATTGCATTGAAATTGCAAGTTATGACAGTTAAAATTGTTGCAGTTGCTTTAAGAAAGTTTCTAAATAAATGGACAAATAATACTTATTATTGGAATAAGAGTTTAGTATCACCTATTTTTCCTATTTTTCATTTTTAGAGGTATAAACACTGAAAAATTATGAATAAATGGGATGGTAGGAATTTTATTACAGTGATATCTTTTAGTTCTTTGAATTCCTTCTGAGTTCTGTGCCAAAAAATAGCAACTTGAGTAAGTACTTCTTTAATAGTGTTGAAAGTAAACAATTGGAGATTATCTAACTTACAAAAGGAATTGTTTTTTAGCCCTTAGAGATATCTATTTTTTTGGTTTCTGGAGTGTACACCAAAAAGCTTGTACCAAAACTTATCAAACAACTGTTAATTAAGGTTGTGCCTCTGTTATTTAGAGGAAACCTTTTTAACTCAAAATATCCCCCAAAAGATACTTAAAGTACCAATAGTAAATTTTTGTGGATACCCTTTTTTTGATAAAACACTTTAAAACTATGTGCTTTAAAAAAATTTTAAAGATGTGGGATACAATTCAGGGTTAAGTATACAAATGCTCATTATGCAGGTACCCTTGTTGATGAGGTGTGCCCCCCTCCCCTGGCAGAATTCCACTACTGCCAGTTCCACGCTCCCTTCCTGGCAATTTCCCACTACTGACTATTCCTTTGTTATAGTATTACGATAATTGTTCAAGGTCCACTTATGAGTGAGGACATAAAACTATATGCTTTTAAAAATGTATTTCTGTCAAAACCCTGCAGCTGCTAATTCAGCTTATTCATTTATGGAAACTGCTGTATCTTGTAGTAGGCAAAACCAGTCCTTCTTGTCAAATCAGTTAGCCACGCTAACTTGTTTCCCATCAGTAAAGATCTGATACCATTTTTCAGTTTAATAAATATGTTATTAGGCATCCCTGAGATAATCATCTTGTTTCTGAATTCTGAGTTCTAATTTTTGGATAGATGGATGGATGGATGGATGGATGGAAAGAGAGGGATGAAATGAGAAAGGGAAGAGAACCAAACCCAGCCCTATGTTTACCTCCTGGAATTGGTGTTCATTTTGTTCTCACAGACTCTAGCTCAACAATGAAAAATCTTTGGGAATAATCAGGGGATGAAAAAGGCAAGGACATTAAATGAGAGTCATCACCACTTCCATTCCACATATATATGTTTATATGTATTATTGTGCTTCACTTTAGTGAGCTTTGCAAATTTTGCATTTTTTTTTTTTTTTTTGAGTCAGAGTCTCACTCTGTAGTCCGGGCTGGAGTACTGTGGCATGCTCACGGCCACCCCAGTGTAGTCGACCTGCTGGGCTCCAGCGATCCTTCTGCCTCAGCCTTCCAAGTCACCAGATCTACAGACATGCACTACCATGCCCAGCTAATTTTTTATTTATTGTAGCAACGAGGTCTCGCCAAGTTGCCCAGGCTGGTCTCGAACCCTCAGATTCAGGCAATCCACTCACCTCGGCCTTCCAAAGTGCTGGGATTACAGTCTTGAACCACTGAGTCCAACCAGATTTTGCATTTTTAACAAATTGAAGGTTTGTGGCAACCCTGTGTCAAGCAAGTCTATTGACTCTATTTTTCCAATAGTATATGCTTACTTCATTTCTTTGTGTCACATTTAGATAATTCTTGTAATATTACAAACTTTTTCATTATTATTGTGTTTATTATTGTGATCAGTGATCTTTAATGTTACTTTTGTAATTGTTTTAGGGTGCCGTGAACTGCACCCATATAAGATGGTGAACTTAAACAAAAAACGTTGTGTGTGTTCTGACTGCTCCATCCACTGGCCATTCCTATCTCTCTCCTTCTCCTTGGGCCTCCCTATTCCCTGCGACAATATTCGCTAATTTCAACAATATTGAAATTAGGCCAATTAATAACACTGCAACAGCCTTTAAGTGTCAAGTGAAAGGAATATCATACGTCTCTCACCTTAAATCAAAAGCTAGAAATGATTAAGCTTAGAGAGGAAGGCATATCCAAAGCTGAGATGGGCCAAAAGCTAGGCCTCTTGTGCCAAACAGTTAGTCAAGTAATAATGAATGCTAAGGAAAGGTCCTTAGAGGAAATGAAAAGTGCTACTCCAGTGATCACACAAATGATAAGAAAATGAAACAAACTTATTGCTGATATGGAGAAAGCTTCAATGATCTGGATAGAAGATCAAACCTGTATAGCTGGGTGTGGTAGAATTCGTCTGTAGTTCTAGCTACTTGGAAGGCTGAGGTAGAAGGATCGCCTAAACCCAGCAGGTCAACACTGGGGTGGTCATGAGTGTGCGTGCCACTGCACTCCAGCCTGGGCAATAGAGTGAGACTCCAACTCCAAAAAAAAAAAAAAAAAAAACCAGATCAAACCTGCTATAACTTTCTCTTAAAGCCTAATCCAGAGCAAGGCCCTAACTTTCTTCAATTCTCTGAAGGCTGAAAATAAATTGAAGCCAGCAGAGATTGGTTCATATGGTCTTAAAAAAAGAAGTCAGCTCTATAACATAAAAGTGCAGAATGAAGCAGCAAGTGCTAATAGAGAAGCTGCCGAAAATTATCCAGAAAAATCTAGCTAAGATCATTGATGAAGGTGGCTATTCTCAATGGATTTCCAGTGTAGATGAAGCAGGCTTCATTTGGAAGAAGATGCCATCTAGGACTTTCCTAACTGGAGAGGAGAAATCAATGCCTGGCTTCAAAGCTTTAAAGGACAGCCTGACTCTCTTGTTAGAGGCAAATGTGACTGGTGACTTTAAGTTGAAACCAGTGCTCATTGACCACCCTGAAATCCTAGGGCCCTTAAGAATTATGCTAAATCTACTTTGTGCTCTGTAAATGGAACAAAAAAAACTGTATGACAGCACATCTGTTTATAGCATGATTTACTGAATATTTCAAGCCCACTGTT